CCCAAGGCACCCTGCACACATGGACTCCGTCCTGCACTGAGCCTGTTTGGTGTGGAACTGGCCCTCCCTGGAGTCACGGTGGCTCAGAGGAGTGAGGGACACATGAACTTCTGTGTAGAAGGAGATAGGAAGTGACTCGGGGACGTCTGGGAGAGTCTGGCAGCACGGAGGACCTCTGAGGCCACGATCTGAAGGTGACAGGGGGCAGGTGGTGGAAGTTTCTAGCCATGGCTCCCTGCTCTAGCCCAAACCACGTGAGCCAAGCTGTGGCTGGTCCAGGTGATCTCAGGAACTCGTGGGCCCAGAGCCTCCCAGAGAGCTGAGGGTCTGGGTGGCCCCGGGTCAGCACGTGCGGGTGGAGGTGGGGGCTGGAGAATGCCAGACAAGGTGACGAAGGTGCCATTGAGGGTCCACACTGGGAAGGCCCCTTGGAGCAGAAGCCCTGGAGAACTCTGGCAGAGACTAGAAAGGGTGGCGAGAGCTGCAAGCCCCAGGATGGAGGTGAGGCTGACAGACTAGTGGTGGTGGTGACAAGTTGAGGTCAAGGTCTCCACCTGGTCACTAGTGACCGTGGGGGCAGTATACTCTCCGTGGGAGCGTCCTGTGCAGAGCAGGGTGTTGAGCAGAGCCCAGCCTCCACCCTCGGATGCCAGGACCCCACTGCTCCCTTCATGACAACCGCACACATCTCCAGACATTGCCCGATGTCCCCAGGACAAAGATGTCCCAAACAGCTCCCCCGGCTGGAGCATGTCCACACCAACAGCTGACTGGGGAGAGAAGGGAGGACTGCGGGCCAGCGAGTCATGAGTGGGCATTGGCTTCGGGCATCAGGATTGATGCCTTGAGAGCTGAGGATGAGAGAGGACAAGGGCTAACCCATCGTCTCCCACCACAAGCCCAGGAATCCCAGAAACATCCCCTGGGTTGGAACTGCAGGGAGCTGGCAGGAAGGCAGTGGGCTCGATCCATGCCGGAAGCTCAGGAGTCCACACTCACTCCCACAAACACTCACTCTCACAAACGGGGCAAGGGCTGGAATGCACCCAGAAGTATCACAATCTGGTAGTACATGTAGTTCATGTAGCCACTGAAGTAGGCTGTGCAGAAATTTTTCCCCAGCAAGAAGTAGATGTAGATGGTGTGCTTCCACCCTGCAGGTGACACAGGCCATGTGAGCAACGAGTCTCTTTATGTGGACCCTACTCCAAGAAAGAATTCCCAGCTGCATGCTTACGGGTTTGGTAGGTGCCAGGTTCATCTCCTATATCCAGGTGCAGCTTGAACTCAATGCATCCAATGGGTCTCCTGGAACACAGGACCCAAGCACGGCTGTCCCTCCTGACATCTGCCCGGTCCTTTCCTGCTCCCACCCAAGGAGTCCCAGCCATGAGGCCAGCCCCCGCTTCCTCCTGGTGATATTCTACAGCCACTCAGCCTCCTCAGCTCTGTGGCCACATCCTCAGGAGACTCACGCTCGGGCACCCAGGACCCTGGAGCCTGCAGCTGCCAAAGAATGCCCAGAGTAGCCTTGCAGGATCCCTTCTATAGACAAGTAAGGCCCTGTGGACAGCTGTGGCTGGTCACAATCTGGCTCCCAGCCAGAGCAATGCCTGAGTGAGACCCCACAGAGCCAAGCTGGGTTCTCTGAAGCCATGAAAATTTCCTAGCTTAGTGCAGTGGAAAGGCCAGGACCTTCTGGTCAAACTCCCCCCTCCCCAATACTGCAGATCAAAGCCAGGGCACTTGATCACCTAAGTACAACCCCAGCCCTCTCTACATTTTTCACTTTGAGAAGAGGTCTTTCTCGTCGACCAAGCTGGCCTCATAACTGACATCCTTCTTCATTAGCCGCCCAAGCACCTGGGTTACAGACAGAAGCACCAGGCCCAGCTAAGCCAAATCCCCACAGCCTGCCTTCTGTGGACCCACCTGCACCCTGAGCTCAGGGCAGCTTGGTTTCCCACCTATCCAGGGCCATTTCCCACCACGGAGGCCGGGTCCTGCCCCAGATCTCCAGATGCTTCCCCAGATGTGTCTCCCAGAAGAAAGTCCTGGACCAGCTATTGCTTCCAGGCTGGGTTCCTTTCTGACAGTGGAACAATATCCTGAAGGACTGTGAGGCTGTCTGTGCATAGAAGTAAACACGGCATCCACACTGGGCTTCTCCAGGAGCAAGTAGCATTGTGCTAGGAAGCCCGGGTCACCATGAGCACCTGCACAGAATGTGTCAGGTGGGCATCTCAGCCTCCTGCGCTCAGCTCGGCATCAGTGTGAGCATTGTCCCTGCAGCGACAGAGGCCACCTGGCACATGTCTGAGATAAGGGGAGAGGGTGCTCGGCGTGCAGGGTACTCACATAACATTGGTCCTAAACTCCAACTTATTGCGACCGTTTCTGGCCACTATGAAGGGAGGCACTGAATGAATCTTCGTCTCATCAGGAATAGGTATGTCCCCTGCCCAGCGTGTTACATACCAGGTTCCTTCCAGCTAGAGGGGAAAGCCATCCTTGAGTGGGGCTACAGGGGTGGGGGAGTCAGGAAAGGGGACCCAGGCTGGAGCTGAAGGGGGAGCGGAAGCAGGAGCAGGGCTTGGTTCAGAGCCTCGGTGCAGGTGGGGTGGGGGCTGAGACACACAGCACAGCCCCTAGCCACCATCAGCGAGCTTGGCAGGCAGGCCAGGGTGGAGCCCTTCGTGGGCACAGCTTCTGAAGAGGAACCCTCAGTGGCCCACTGAGGAAGAGGTGAGAGGTCACCCCAGGACCAGATCAAATCTTGTCTTCGGGGGATGAGACAAGGCAGGGCCGCAGAAGCAGTGGACAGAGTTCAGGGAGTGACAGCACAGATGGACAGCACAACCACGGACCCCCCGAGTGGTCCATTGGATGACCACATCTTCACTGCTATGGGGTGACCAGGCCGGCCCGTGACTCCTTCCCCTGCTGGTGCCCAGGTCCTTGAAAGGTTGGGACTCACCAGTGTTGTCCCAGCACCAAATGGGAGTCAGTGGGGCACCTGTTCACCGGCACCCAACAGTCACAGGGCCCTTGGTCACAGGGCCACACGCCAGCTTCAGCCTCAGCGCTCACTTGGCTCCTGGCTCCTGGGATCCCAGTGCCCTTGACCTCGTTTTTCTCCTGCACCCAAGGCCTCAGACCCTCTCGTGAGACCTGCGGTAATTGGCCCTACTCCCTTGTTAAGAGGATTCAGACCAGGGCCTTGCACTGTAAAAGGCAGAGACAGAAGCCTGGGGCCCCAGGCCCAAGTGCCAAGAGCAGATCAGCAACTGGTCAGCTCTATGAGAGGTCACTGTGAGCAGGTCCTGGGGTGAGGATGAGTGACCCCAGGAACTGGACTTGTTACCAGAGCCTGGGTCCGTGGACACTGACCTCGACCCCTCGACCTGTTTGGGATCGGGTCAGTTTAGCTTCTAGGAGGAGGACATCAAAGATAAAAAAAGTTGCAACCCAGTAGTTTGTCCATCAGTGGTGGGGCCTGGGTCAATATCTCATCCTCTCCCAGGTCTGAAATCTTGTCGTAAAACACACCAGAACTAGGTAAAGTCAAAAATTTTTGGACAGTCCATGGTTTTGTGGAGATGGTCGTGGACGAACCTTTCATTTGGAAATGAAAATCTGAATGGGATCCATTTGGATGAATTGAAGAAGCCTCTCTGGAGCCCACAGTGCTGGCAACATCCACCCAGCAACAGCCTGGGGTGGCCTCCCCAAGCCACGTCTCAGCCCTGCACACGCTCCCAGAAGGCAGGACGACGGCACTCTGTCCCTTAAGGACCCCTTCCTCCACTTAGCAGGCCCAAGGACACAACACAGGAGAGCCCACCAACGTCCTCTGGAGCCTTGATCGACCCCAGGTCCCTCCTCATGCCTCCCCAGGGATGTCACCTCCTTGGCGTCCGCAGGAGTCAGCAGAGGTGACACAGCTGGCACTGCAGAGACAAGGCTCACCCTGGTGGCCAGCAGAAGTAGCTGCAAGGTCCCCAAGTCAGCTCTGTGCTCCCAGCCAGCCTCCCAATGCCCTTTTATCACACACCAAGTGGCCCTGGAGGACCCTGCCTCCCTCCCCTGCGGTCCCCCCCATCTGCTCTGCAGGGCGATAGCCTTGTTTTGATTGGACCTTGTGAATGGACGGAGGTAATCTGTGTAATTAGCCATGGTGACTGTCCTTGGACACATTCCGAGGAAGCATTGTCCCAGGGAGGGTGCCATCGGAGCGGGAGGTGCCCGCCCCTGGAATCTGCAGCCAGAAAGATGACAAGAGGGCCTCGTGCAGAAAGGCGCCCAACGATGTCCTACCATCCCAGCCCTCTTCAGGCTGAGGTGCTGCCCTTCCCCTCCAACCCCTCGGCTCCTGTGTCAAGACCTCCCTGGCTGGCTGTGCCCTTCCCGTGCTCCCCTCAGCCTGTCAATTTGTTCAGTCCCCAGAGTGTCTCCAAATCCACCTCTTCCCAGAGCTGCCCGCTTCCCTCCTTCCGGGTTCCAGGAAGGCTGAGGGGACGGGCACTGACCGAAGATAGCTCTCTGGTCCCACCTCTCCACCCTCCCTCCAGCTCCCTGACCTTGTATCACAAGGCAATGGTGTCATCTTGCCCCTGTGCATGTGTGGGTGTGCACCTGCATGTCGCTATGTTTCGGCATATGCGTGTGTACCTTGTGTCTGTGTGTTCATGTGAATGTGTTGTGTGTACACATTTCTATGCATCATTAAAACCTTCCCTAGACACCACTGTGGACTCTGGTCTGAGTTCAGTTGCATTTCATTCTTGGTCCCTCCCCTTTTTGTGACTGATTGTCCCAACCCTGTATTTGTACATTAGATATAGCCAGCTCCTGCTCTTCGGTTTCCCAGGTAACACAGGTGTTTATGGGCATGCATACCTATGACAACCCAGGAAGCAGGTGGTGGAATGATCCCCAGTGAGCAGATAGGACAGTAGGGAGGCCCTGAGAGACACACTGATGTGTCCAGGATCACACACCTCTCAGAAAGAAGAAGGTCTGTCCTGGGATGGCAGGAGGGATGAGCTGGTGTCACTGTGTCCAGTTGTGTACACGGCATGACGGGATGGCAGTCAGCAGCCCCAGGGCCTGTGGGGAGGACTTGTGTGAGGAAGAGGCTCGGCTGCAAGACTCCAGGAGGTGACCTCACTTCCTCCACGATGGGCCAAACAGAACTGGGAACCCCAGTGGTTGACACCACATTCCAGAGCCCGCCCCAGCCAGCTCACCTGTCTGGAGCTGCAGGAATGAGCCGATGCTCTCTTGTTCTCCCAAATTGCCCAGGCTCAGTCCCAGAAGAGCGGGGCTTTGGCCATGTCTGGAGATGCTGGGTCAGCTGTCACCCCGCCACCTCTGATCACTTCCCAGAGGAGTCCCAGTGTCACACCGAGCATCCCGGGGCAGGTCAGTCCTCACTCAGACCTCTTCCGGGCAGCCTCTCTCCACCCCAGAGTGCGTGCGTGCATGTGTGTGTGTGTGTGTGTGTGTGTGTGTGTAGGAAAATGCTTTCTGTGCTGCGTCCACTGTGCTGTATGTCACATGTCGTTTTGTGATTCCCTCTTTTGAGCCCTCCCTTTTGCTTCCCACCTCAGGGTGAAACTGAGTCTGGACCCCACTTGAGGTGAAACTTGAGCGCCTCCGAGCAGGAGTGCCGAGACCACACTGAACCCCATGGTTCCTGCCCTGAGGAGCTGGGACCACTGTGCACCAACTAAAGACTCGCCACCTCCTAGCAGGTGCTGGACCTGCTGTCCAAACGGTGCACATCCACCTCTAAGCAGGGCCGGGGGGCTCGTCACCTCCTGGCTGGTCCTCAGATGACCGGCCCTCTCTCAGCCGAGTTCGCTCTGTGGAAGCTGAGGTGCTTACAGGGACCCTCTTATCAGGACCAAGGGGCCTGAGCCCTGGAAGTGCTTGCCCAGCACTGGCCCTGCGCCATGGGCTGCCCAGAGCTGTGGCCTCTGGTGTGGGACTGAAGAAGCCCACAGGCTGGGGTCTCACCCCATCTGTAAAGCAGTTTCCAGGCAACATCTGGGGCACCCACCCGGAGCTAGATGTAGCCAGAGCAAGAAACTGCAGGTGTAGCATGAGGGGCCCCAGGCCCACTGAGATATCTCAGTAGGAGCAAGTTGAGTTCATCCACAGCCCAAGGGCACCTACTGTGTCCAGGTACATTTCCAGGCACGTAGGATTTAATCCAGGGAACTGCAGACGAACCTCCGGCTCTCCTAGGCCTGCATTCCCATCGAGGAATGCAGGCCTAAACATCCCTGCGGGTGGGAACAGAGGATGGGACATCAGAAGTGACGGCCACCTGGGCTCCTCTAGCTTTGGGTTCTTCCCCTCCTGACTGAGGAGGAGGAGGAGGCCCGAGTAAAGAGGCGAGTGGGCTCTGGGTCACGAGGGAGGCTCCTGTCTCCAGAGTGAGCCCAGCTGGGGAGTTCAGGCTTGGTAGGGCCTAAACTCTGGGTCCCCACTCTTCTCATGATTCCCACTACAGGGTCTTGGGCTTTGCCTGCAGGAGGAGGGAGACACAGAGCTGTGGGTCACCTCAGGCACCTGAAGCACAGAGGAGAGGCTAGGGGCTTATGGGCAGCCCCTGTGAGGGTCCGTGCCCACCACAGCCCATCCCAACCAGGCATGCCTACCCTGTCCTCTATGGAAGCCAGACAGTAGGTGGCGGGCACGTCCTGCTCACACATGGGCGTCACACCACTGGCTGCACATGGGCTGGGCGGGCTCTGCTCAGCAGTCCACGCTGCACAGGCCATGGAAGTGTAGGGAAGGAGAAACCAGGCCTCTGACTCCGCTGCCCACTCACCTGTGCCCCGAGCTCCATCCTGGGCACTGGGCTGCACGGTCACCCTAAGGGCCTTTGTCAGTACCAGGACCTGACCTTTGTCAGTTCTCAACTAGCTGATGACTGTGTGCTGCTCAACACACCCTGCTCGGACCTGACCCTCCATGTGCACGGACTCCTGAGCTAGCCGGAGGACCAGTGAGGCTGAGCTGGAGCCTAAGGAGGCCTAGGAGGGGTCCCTGGGGATTTCCAAGGAGGGGTCATTGCTTGGACCCACCAGGAGGAGGCTCCAGTTTGGCCAGGAGCAAGGACAAGACAGGACCCTGAAGCAAGTGGACCTCAGCCTGGGAAGATGTCCTGTTAGGTCGAGGCTGGGTTTTCTCTGGAAAGAAGGGGTACTCTCTGCTTTGGGAAAGTCTCAGAGTAAGGCAATGGTCTTAAGGCTCTTTTTTCTTCCTGTAACTCCAGCACCACCTGGAGGTTCAGAACGGCCCCTAACCCAAGGACCCCTGTTTCCTTCCTTAGATTTGAAGCCACACACTTGCTGCAGTTCTGGGTCTGGGGCCAGCACAGGCACCGAGCTCAGTCTGTGCCTGAGTGCCACCCAGCACCAACGCCAGCACATTCCATCCCCTCCCCTGGGAAGGAACCAGCCTTTTTTATTTTTCTTTCTTTTATTTTCAATGTTTGGTGTGTCAAGTGAAGTACTGAATTGAATAAAATTTAATTATTGGTTCATTTAAATTTCACAACTCAGGGCCAAGAAGTCCACTCACCAATCTGTGGAGCCAGCAGCCCTGTCCAGCTGCAGCCTGGAGCCCCGGCAGAGGTTTGAATGGAATTTCTAGTTTTAGTTTTTTGAGGAATCTCCACTCTAACTTCCATGTTTTCTTATTTTATGTGGCCAAACCATTTTTTTTTTTTTGTACCAGGGATCGAACTCAGGACCTTGCACTTGCCAGGCAGGGGGCGAAATCACTGAGCTAAATCCCTGGCCCGAAACCAAGTTATTTTTTATATTCTTCCTTTGTATGTCTCTAGTATATGCAAAAATTAATTTTAACAGTTTTCCACATCACCCTTGGAGTCCATTTAGAAATTATGTAGACTCACAAACTTCAACCTAATGTTTTAATTGTCCCCAAATCCCTATTTCACTGGACTATAGTTCATTTCTTTTAAGTGTCTAATGCTGAGAAATATAGTTATTCTCAAGTACATGTTCACCTAGACGCTTAGTGTAAAAGAAGGGGACAGGATCCTGTGAGTGATGAGACAGGAAGGAAATGAAATTTCAACCAGGGGAAGTAAAAGGAGTGACCTTAACATCAAAGAGTAAAAAGAGGTGATCAAAAACTGGTAGGTGATGCGATGCTCCAGCTTTATCCTTTTTGCTCAAGACTTTGGCTACTCCGGATCTTCCCTGGCCCGATACTAATTTTAGGGTTTTTTGTCTATTTCTCATTTGTCGCACCCCCCTTTCCCATTGGACAGGGTCAGTCAATGGTCCATTGTCTGCCTCAGCCCTGTCATCACTCTAGAGTCTTTTAGTATTTGTGCCCTTCAGTGGATCCCAAGCCACTGATATCCCTGACTAGCTCTGCAGCCTGTGGGCTCATGAGGTGCTCTACTTGCTCCAGAATCCCCTCTGTCCATATACCCAGGGATGTGGCAAATGTCCAAGCAGAGATGTATCCCTGATCACCTGGGCAGATGAGGAAAGCAAACAAACCACTGGAAGCAGCCAATAAGGAGAAATCAAGCAATCCACTGGACTCAGTCACAGTGCTTTCCAACCCAGCCCCCTCAGAAAACCACAGGTAACCAGCCTGGCTTCTTACCACAGAGGGTGGGACCACTGTGTCCTCCACAGCCTAAGCTCCTCACTGCTTAAATGTCTCAGGGGGCCTGTGACTAGCTCTCCCTCTCTCCATGACTGCCTCCCATGGCTGCCTCCCACCAAGTCACTGCAGTAGAGTGACCCCAGAGACCTGACAGTGTGATTGTTCAGTAACTTCTGATTCCCAGAGTAGCTCAATCTTAGACAATAAATCCCTTCTCAAAATGGTTCTTGAGGGCCAGGGATTTAGCTCAGTGGTTTCACCACCTGCTGGGCAAGCGCAAGGACCCGAGTTCGATCTCCGGCACCAAAAAAAAAAAAAAGAAAGAGGGCTGACGATTTAACTCAGTGGTTCTGGTGCATGCCTCACAAGTGCAAGGTCCCGAGTTCGATCCCCGGTACCAATAAATAAATAAATAAATAAATCTTGATCATATCATTTCCAAATATGACAGGAACTTCAGTGTATTTGTTCTCCAAATCTAATTTGTCATGCAAAATGCATCATCTTCAGAGCAAATCCCCACACTATATGTGCAGCTTACCAAAATCATGGGATTTTCCTGGAGCTGGTACTATTGGGCCACACCTGTGCTTCTAGAATCAGGTTTCTCTTCCCACCTTAGGTGCCAGGGTTAAGGTACCAGACTGCTCCATTCTTTCTTCTGTATTGTCTTCTGTTTGATTGTTTGTTTTTGAGACAAGGCTTTACTATGTAGTGCAGGCTGGACTTGACCTCACTATGTAGCCCAGGCTGGCCTTAAACTCATGGCAATCTTCCTGCCTTAGCCTCCCAAGTGCTGAGATTACAGGTATGCACATTACACCCTGCTATGCTGTCTTCTACTTCTCCATGATTTTTAGCTTTCCTGTCAGCTCTTTCTTGATTTCTGAAGCTCTTCTCTTCCTCCTTGCAAAGTAGTTATTTTCCAGGTGTCTCAATTCCAGGTTCCAGAGAAGCTGTGGTTTTTCTGCTGATTTCTATCTATTCCACAACCTTGTGGTCCCAAAACACAGCCCTTTTTTATTTTTTATTTTGAGACAAATTCTTGCTAAGTTGGAAAGTTGCCCAAGCTGGGCTCAAACTTGTGATTCTCCTATCTCAGCCTTCCAGGGTGCTGGGATTACAGGTGTATGGCACTACATGAGAGTTTTTATTCTATTTAAGATGCTTAAAGCCATGATGATTTTCTTAAAAGACTGCTAAGCTTTTCCACAAGGGTTAAGGGAGGATCACGAATGACAAAGCTGAGTCTATTAGAATTTTACACATGTGTGCTTGTGGCAATTGTCCTAGGCAGAAACCTACTGAAGTCACCATGCACACGAAACTGTCCCAGGAAAGTGCCACTGATCACCGCTGTCATATTGACTGATCCTGTGTGTCTGTCCTCCTGGGAGCCTGAGTCCCTGTCTACCTGATGAAGGGAGAGTCAGTTGGGCAGCCCCATCCCAGGGTCCTAGGGCAGCTCAGGTTGGCTGCCTTGTGGGGAGGGAACCTCAGTCCTTGGTCACCCTGAGAGCTGGCTTGCGGGACAGACAACACTTGTCAGGGTGACAATGAGGCAGATGTCAACACTGAGGACACTGTATATCACAGGCACACGGACATGAGCCAAGGCCCGTGTCCAGGGCTGGAACTTGGGTCTGATGCAGGATCCCAGCTGAGGGTGGAGACAGGCTTCTGAAGGAGCATGGAGGCAGGGTGAGTCAGACCCTGCCCCACAGAGGGAATAGAGAGGGCAGAGGCCAATGGCAGCAATGGGCTGGCAGCAGGGTAGTATCAGCAAGAACAGCTGGAGGTCACTGAGTCCCTTCAGGGGCCTTTCCCCTACATGTGAGTTACCACAGAGTCCTCTAACAACTTTATAAGGGAGGTGGAATGCGCATTCTCATTGCACTGATGAGGAAACCGAAGCTTTGCGATACCCTCTATGTGCCCTACAAACCCTTTCTGAATCCAGAACCTATAAGATTTGGTGAGGCTGTTTTTGTTTTTGTTTTTGTTTTTGGCTTTTCTGGGTCCTTTGTACTCCTACATAACTTTTAAATTTCAATATCCAGTTATTCATTTATAGCAAGTATACACAGACCTGAATTTTTATATATACCTTGTGTTTTCTAATCCTGCTAAATTCAAGTACAAGTTCTAGGG